CTTTAGTTACAGCTCTCTCTCTCTCTCTCTCTCTCCCTCTCTCTTTCTCTTTCTCTCTCTCTCTCTCATCTGCCTCGCTCCACTGGCCTTGCCTGCATACTCTGACCCACAATCCAATACTGCAGTAGAAGCCAAGATCACACAGCAAGCTCCACAGAGTAGATTCAGGGACAGAGCCGGCCTCGGCCAATCACAGATAAACACAGAGATTGGCACCCAACCAGAAACACTCCTAAGACCGAATTCAGTCAAAGAACCAACCACAGCCAAGCAGAGCGGCGGACAAACCAATGAAATCTGACCCACAGGAGAGCTCCCATGGCTCAGACTGCAAATGAGCAAAGCCTGGTTGTGACTGCTCGGGTTTGAGCTCCATCCACGCAACACTGTTCTGCTTCTGTTCGCTTTTTTTTTTTTTGCATATTGAGTGGCAAAATCTATAAATCTGATATATTTCAGAGGGTGACTAGCCCCAGCAGCCTTTATGTTAACAGTCAGGAGGCAGTGGGAATTAAAGAAGCTGTTGTGTGATCAGCCCACTCTCTCCGTTTAGCATGTGCAGCCTTGTTATCAAATATACGTTATCGTCAGGGGTACGTGATACATACTTAGTAGTGCTTGTACGGAGGCATTGCTGTTTGGCTTTGTATTAGTGCTACTAAAATATACTTAAATAACCTTTTTCCTTCACGACAATAAAGTGGGAAAAAATCTATCATACTTGTGAATGAAACCCCAAAATCAATTTCTAGATTGAACTTGGTACATTCAAGCCTTTTATCTCCCCCTTTTCAGTTTTTTCATGCCCAAGAGCTCTCATAGACCGAGCATCATTATGGGGTTTTTGATTTCACGGCCTTGAATTGTAGTAGGAATATTAATAATTAATGTCAGAATACAGTATCTACACAGCTTTGGGAGAAGTACAGAAGATACTCTGGCCTTGAACGGGAGGATTAGGAGAACAGAAATCCATAGAGCAGTCTGTTTGTCTGACTGTCTATGGGTGTTGTCACCAGCTAAGCACTTCCTGCTATTGTTCCTTAATGTTTCTCCTTTCTTTACTAGAGTTCCTCGTCTACAGCTCATGTCCTCACCTCCACCGCCCACTGCCCTCGATTCCTGCGTTATTAGAAAGGAAGCGTACACGAAGACCGACCACCGATGAGGCTGCGATTATTATTGTTTAACCTTGCGTCTCCGTGGCTGTTCTTAAGCAGTTTGAGTTTTCACAGTCAAGGAAAGTACATAGTGCCTTTTAACCTCACGGCAGTAGCTACATTGAAAATCCCCTAATTCATAGTTCAAAGCCTTGTTGCTCGTGGTCGACAATCTTCCCGTATTATCTCGCATCAAACAGGTAGTTTATGATGATAACTGGGCCAGATTTCTTGTGATTTCTTTTGAATAAAATGCCTCCCTGATTTCAGTCCCCATTTGTAAATAGCGTGCAATGTAAGCTGACAGCGGCTTTGTGAATTGCCGATGTTTTAATGTTTCCAGCTGTTTTAAATCGAGAACCTCGCGTGAGGGGCCTTAAATATGCACTTGATGTCCGCGTACATGATATCACGCTAATAGGTCCCAGGCAACATTCCTCACCAGCTGATGATGAAATAATGTAGTATGAATATTATTTTGCCCTGGCCTTGGAAGTAACGCAGGGTTAGTACTGTGGGAAGAAAGTGAGTTATACATGGCAAACATTTGTGCACCATTTCTTGTCTGCACCTGTCTGTTAACGTGTCCTCCAGTGGCGAGGACAGCTTGAAGTACTTGTTTTTTTCAGTAATACACAAAATGGAGGCAGCAATAAAGAGAACACGTGAAAGATCTGCCGCCACCCTCTTGAAATGATTCAATAAGAGAAAAAATACAGCTTGAAAGTTTGTGGAAATTCTGTTTTTCTAAAGTAAATACCAGGAGTGTTGTGTGTGTGTTTTTCCTCAGAGCTGATTATCCCTCCGCAGCAATAGAGAAGTGGTAAAATATGTGTGTCTCTCCTGTAGTTGTGGTACTTTTAAACCTGTGCCTTCTCTGCTTAGTCTTGTTGTTTTTCTAGCTTTTAGTTTGATCCAGTGAGAACATGTACAGTGTGATGTAACATTTATGATAATTACGCAGCCCATGTACCTTTTTAGTGGTCATTTTAACCCAGCGCATGTTAATGTGCTGGAAATACACGTAAGTGGAGAATCGTCTGCCCCGTCGGGAATGTAACCGCTAACCCTCGCAGTGCCATCGACAGCTTATTGAAATTCAGTTTCCTCGCCGGAATGAGAAATTCCTCCACATACTTAACCCTTAGTTTGAACTCCTTTCCCGCTCTGCATGCACGCAGCGCACTTCCCCCTGCAGGCAGAGTCACTCCTACAGAACAGCAGGCAGTAGAGGCCCGCAGGTTGAGGGCAGCCGAGGCCCGCAGTAGGCCAGGGTTGATAGCTTTATCTGCGGATGGGAGCAGAGGAGAAGAGTTGGCGCCGTGCCCAGCAGAGCTACCGCTCCATCGCGTCACCCTCTGCCCACACAGGCTAGCTTGACCTTGGGCAGGGCACAGTCACCCTCCTCCCTCCACCCCTTCATAACAGACCCCCCACCCTCTCTTCCCGGCTGGAGGAAAGGGAGGAGCTGGGAGTAAGGGAAACAAACTGGCACATCATGTTTCCCTTATCTGAAATTACCCACAACGCAGGCTATGTACACAAACACACACTCTGACATTGGCTCAAACTATTTCTCCCAGACGTTAACTGGAAGTCAGCAAGCAGACTGTCTGTTTCGCAACTGGACACATTTTGGCTTTTCTTTTTTCGTTCAAAACACATCTTTCACGCGTTATTCAGTAGAAGGTGGGAGTTCAATCAATCTCTCAGTTTGGGACATTTCATTTTCATGGTCATCTTGCAGTTTTTGTTTACGTTTTTAATGATGGTTCTTTCAAACCCTTCGCCCCTGCATGTGTTTGTTATGTCCTTCAGGCTAGAGTTTAAATTGGTATTTCCATTGATCTTGAAAGGCAGCAGTCTTTGCAGGCAGACAGTTATTTTTCAGCTGTGTATTTTTCCTGCATAGACAGTCGCAGTAACAGTATCAATCTGTCTCTGTAGCTGGTTTAGCAGACAAGAAGTGTCTGTATGTCTATGTATGTATGTGTATATAGATATAGTTTGCACTCTTGCTTTATTAGGAAAGGGTTGATGTGATTTCCATCAGAGTGTGTGCATAGAAAAGTGTGTCGGTGGACAATGATCGATAAACAAGGCGATGAAATGGCATAAATTAATGAAGCTGTTGAGCGGTCTAATCTTCTCTCCTCACCACACATGCTCATCAACACTCACAAACTGCCTCCATCTTAGCCTCTTGTCACCCAACTATTTCTTTCACTCTGTTGCTACTGCAGAGCACAGCTCTGTTTTTCTAGAAATTTGAATCGACTCAACTCCTCTGTCTCTTCACAGCGGCGCAGGGTGAGGAGAGGGAGTGTGCCTTCACAGACCAGCACCAGCAGTGGGAGGTGGATCGAGTGGCGGGGGGCGAAGGCCGGGTCTCCCCAGAGAACACCACCATCCGATGTGCCAAGGGCAGCCACTGTTTTGGACTGTGGGAGAAAAGTCCTCCAGGCGAAGTGCGACTTGTCAAACAAGGTAAAACTTCAGAGACTGCCTCGAGGTTTACTTGTACAACTACCAACTTTAAAGTGAGACTGTGTGACATTTTTGAAGAGTATTTACTGTTGCCACAAGTGACAGTTACAGATAATGGTGCTGGAACAAAGTGTAACAGTCGCAAAAAGTTGGCAAACTGGATTAGTAATATCAATGTAGAGCAATATACACTTAAGTTTTCTAACATTGGCTAACATTTAGCCTCCATAGTAGTGCCTCTTGTAGTGATTGGACCCTCACCGCCCCCATCCTCTTCTGTCTCCGCTCTCCGTCAGGTTGCTGGACACATCTGGGCGACCACCAGGCTTGCCGTGACGACCGCTGTGTCGTGACCAACCTCCCCCCACAGATGCAGAATGGGACGTACCACTTCTGCTGCTGCGGCAGCGACATGTGCAATGTCAACTTCACAGAGGACTTCCCACCGCCCAGCCCCACCACTGCGCAACCCATCTGTAAGGACACGTGCTTGCACAAAGTGGAACCACAGTACCAATCACTGCTGCGCTCTGTACATGTAGTCACACAATAGATGATATTCTAAACGTGCTTGTTTTGTAGTCAGTTTCTTTGCCAAAGGATTCCTTTCTAGTCATGATGCATCTTTTTTTTATATGACTGGTGATCAGCCAGATAGATTTAAAGCCAGATTTCAGCCTACGCTATTATGGCTTTAGTATTGAATTTTGTGCTGGCCATTTTTTGAAAGTACAGGCAGTGAGGGAAATCACTTTGCTATTGATCAACTGTGACATCGGGTCAGTTCAAATGCAAGTTTAAACTATGAGGGAAATTGTCTTGTATTGAGAACATAGCTGAATGTAGCTGCTCTGTCATTGATTACTACTTGAATAAATCCTTCAGATAGTGTTTTTCACACAGATAAGTTGACTCGAAGACACTTTTTAGTAACCTGACTAGGCCAGATGCTTTATTACACAGAACAGAGGGGCAGGCACTTTAAAAAAATATTTAGCAGGAGATTTGATGAACCATCTGTCGCTCGCTGTCTGTCACAGGCCAACTTCCAACCAATCAGATCAATGAACCATATAACGTCGTCAATAACCACATAGCTTGGAGCCTGGCACGATGGCCGCTCTCGTGATTTGCTGCCTCCCAAGGTTACATCTTAAGCTTTCATGGAGCAATTTCTCGTACCAGAGAGAATCTGCGGTCACAATCAACATCAACAATCAACATCAACAATCACAACACAATTGGGTGCGTTAGGCGAGGGCAATGAATGAAAGAAACATGACTAACAAAAGAAAAGAATGGGAGAAATCAAACGCAGGCCCACACAGTTCTGAAACACAAAGCTATTAACAGAGAAGAATGAAAGGATGTTAGATATCAGAGCTTTTTGTACCTACACCTACCTACTTGTAACTACTTTCTCTCTCCTCCTCCTCTTCCTCCTCCTCTTCCTCTGCTGCATCATTCAGCCACACGGCTTAGAACTGAGCTTTCTGATTCCAATCCTTTGTGAACCTTGACAACTGAATTGCAGAGATAAGTTGGTTTGAGATCAGATAGGCTTTGCAATTTGCTCAGTGTGATATATAGATTATATGCACTAAAGAGCCATAAAAGTGGTTGTTACCGAATTCTGTTTGTATCGATGCTCGCCCATTGTGTTTATTAAGTTGCCGGTGTGTTCTTAGTGAGGTGTCAGACAAAGCAAACAGATGTTAATTGTTCCTTCCTCTCAAGGTTTAGCTGTGAATGAAAGCAATGTGTGTGGTAGAACGAGGGGGAGGAGGGGGAGGGCAGATGATGGAGCAACCGCCGCCATCAGCCCCCCCCT